GAGTGTTTGCACACCTGTAGACAATGCTGAAGCTTGAGGACGGAGAACCGGAATTGAGGTGTTGCATAACAGCCAGCTGCTTGAGTATCAGGGTAAACTGGGATAGCAGTCGCTGTGCCACCAGGTCCGGAGGTACTTTTATCAGAAATATCAGTAATTATACATCCAAATGTTATGAAGTTATAAAAGTTAATGCGATGGCAAAGATGATTTATTCCACTGTGTATACTTTGAAATGATGTAGTCCATCAATCAGCTATGTCGGACTCACTAATTGTTGTGCTGCTTAATAATTCTTCGCGTTTATAATTGTGACCTAACGTTGCGATTACTCGACATACACAACGTGATTCAAAAGGCACTTGCGAAGGAATACTATAGTATATTATTGCAGCAATCAAAATTCAAAAATCGAGCGAGTACAAAAGGTATCAATTGTTAACATGCAAGATTAAGAGTAATAAACAAATCAAAGTACAATTACACAATGAAAGTATAGTACGATTATGAGTAATAAAATGGGTCACTACAGTTGCTAGCGAGCATGGCGATGATTTGCATGGGTCATTTGCGACACCCATTACTTTGTAATACTCATAGAAATGATAGGAGTATTAATGCACTCTCTGTGTGACAATAATTCGATAGATGACAGATATTTTTGCTATAATCGTTTGCTTCTGAATCGCAAATACTTGAATGATATCACGATAGTGATTGTGGTATTCCACTTTTTGAGCACCACTCAATTTTTGCCCTTTGAAGTCCCCACCAAATGCCTTATGTGGCGGGTTTTGAAAAATCATTATATTATTTCTGTAGGCTTGGTGTGTGATGGTTCACAGCTCGTTTATATCTGAGCCGCTTGTTCACGTGTGTGGTACCACCTATATTTTTGACGGTGCTTGCACCGATTCAGCAAAACCATGTGCTGCGCAAATACTTCGGTGTGAGAGTAGCAAATTATTATTATTGCTGTTCCATTGGATTCCGCGTGGAACATAGGGCTTCAACAACACATCGCTTTTTGCTCTTTTTTCTGCCGTCCTCTTTATTTGGGTCAACGATCACCTAAACTCTCATCTCTTCCCCATACGACTCCCTCCATGTCACCCTAGGTGGACCCACTCGACGCTTCCCATTTAGATTCCACTCGAAGCCTGGCGCACTATGTCATACGACGGTCTCCTCAATGTATGCCTTATGTATCTCCATTTTCTTTTACAAATTTGTTAGGCAATCAGCTCTTGGTTGGTTTGTTCCCATTGTTTCGTGTTACTTATCCTTTCGATCTTCGGTATGGAGCGAAGACAGCAGTTGATGAAACCTGTTGGAAAACCTTTTGATGACACGCCAAGTTTCTCACCCGTATGGAAGAACTAACTGACTTCACATCTGTGTTAAACAGAATCCGAACCTTGTTCTTCATGCTGGCTGAGTGCAGTGCAGAATATTTCTAAACTGGTTCCAGAATCACGAAGGCGTATCTTGACTTTCAGATTCCAGACGGCTTTGACGTCTTCATCCGTTCAGCCTGTTGTCGAAACCGTGCTTCCTAGATAAATGAAGGAAGTAGCCCCATTGAAGTCTCTCCCAGTGATGGTGACTGGTGCCGGTTGTTATTGCTTTTGGTGGTGGCTGGTTATCTTCATCGCCTCCGTCTTCTCTATGTTCACCTGCAGTCCTGTATTCGCTACCTGCTTCTTCAGCCGGTTTGTTGGTTTTCGTCCGTAAGTCTTCGAGTTTGTGTGAAATACTATATATATCATCCACATGCGAAATCTGGATCTTCTAGAGTCTTCCTATCGGTGGTCCAGCGTATTCCTGTCTCTTCGCTTCTCCCTCACAGTCTAAAACATGATCCAGTCCACCACAATTGAGAACATCATCACTGATCATAGGCAGCCTTGTCATTACCTCTCTATGCACTTCGAACACCTCATTGAGTTTTCCGTTGTGGATCACCTGGCACATGGCATTGTCATATAGCTGTTGAATGAGGTTGAGACAGATTTGAGGCACGCTGCAGTGTTGAAGTAGCCTCCAAATTACTTCTCTGTCAACGCTGTCAAGGGCCTTTACGAAGTCGATGAAGTTGTGAAAGAGGTTTGACTGCCATTCTATGCATTGTCCTGCGATGACGATGCGTAGAGTTGTGATTTGATCAGCACATGATTTGCCCTTCATGAATCCGGCTTTTCCTGTGCTGGAGACGTTCGGCTCCAGGTTCATCGTTTATTCTCTACAGGATGATGCGACATATATTTGACTTGGCGTGGACAAGAGCATGATTCCACGCCAGTTCTTGCAGAGGCCTAAGTCGCGCTTCTTCGGCAGCTTTACAAGGTAGCCGGCCTTTTATCCATTCCACAGGTCGTCACTTTTCCTTCCTCCTTTCCAAATCTTTTGCAATGATGGCGCGAGCACGTGTGCCGCGGTCTGTGGGGCCATTTTCAGTGCTTTGGGGTGGGGGAATCCGTCTGGTCCTGCTGCCTTTCCGGCTGGTGTTCAGTAGTTTGATCGTATTCAAGATTTCTGTTATGTTGGAGGGTTGTTGTCCACTGATGGTTCTGTGCGTGCTGTTGGTAGTACTTCTGGGTGGGTTGCAGATGAAGTTGGTCGATTCAAGAGTCCTTTGAAGAGATCAGCTCATTGTTTTATTCGTTTCCGATAATCCTCCGTGGTAGTCAGGTTCCCTTGAACTTCTTTATTGATTTCACCATCTGGGTTGATCACGTCCCGAATGGCGAGCAGCCTGGTCATTTTATATGGTGTTCTGAGGTCTCTTTCACCTACGGCCTGCCTGTTCTCCTTCAGTTGCAGGCCGGTGTGCGTCGGTGGCACAGTGGTTAGGACTCTCGCCGACCATGCACATGGTCCGGGGTTCGATCCCCTGCCGGCGCACACCCGATATCTATGGTATGCCTGAATTTGGGCAACCGATATCCATGCTGAAAATTCCATACTTGTACTGAAATACGGTGTGGAATCAAGCTTAAAGAATTTTCTTTTGTCTTTCTTATCACCCTTATTCACCTCTGTCTTTATTCAGTGCAGTGCACATTGAACTCAGCTTCTCCTTCTGTTGCTCATCTTTGCATTGAGTTATCTTCTTTTTCACCACCCTCCCCTCTTCTTTTAGCTTAAGGCTGGGTGCCCGTTGACAGCCATTCCTTGTCTTGCCGACTTCGCTCTGATCTGATCCCTTGTAGTTTTGTCCTTCAGTTTCTGAATGTTGAGCCTATATTACAGTGGCCTGTCTCCATTTGTTTTGAGGGATTTCAGCTTCACCTTGATGGCTCCATAAACTAGATGGTTGTCTCAACCCTTCTCAACTTTGATTCCAGAAGGCTGCGTCTACTTTTTCTTGAGCAGCATTGAGATGATGTCTGTCCGGTTTGTGGTGTCCGTCAGGTGAAATCCATTTTTCTTTGTGTTTATCCTTGTGTTTGTTCATCCCCCCATCGATCACCAAACCACTGAAAGAGCAGAAGCCTGCGAATAATTCTCCGTTCTCATTCATTTCTCCTAGAGCCTCTCGACCCATGATGAGTTCTCTTCCTGTATTGTCTGCTCCCAGTTTGCCTTGAATTCATATCACCCATGAGGATTCTGATGTCACCATTTGTCCATTACTGTTTGTAGTTGCCTGTAAAAGTCTTCCTTCTTCTTTTGTTCCGCGTTGTTTGAAGCACTGTGGGTAGGATTGGATAATTGAGTCCTTCCCTCCTGCCTTTTGAGTTGAACCTTTCTGTCGTAATCCTCTTGGAGGAGATTGGTTCACACTGCATTAGAACTTTGGCTGCCACTGATGGCATAATAATAGCCACTCACCCCAGGGTGTTCGTGGTCGTCGTCTGGGTGACCGGAGTAGATTACTGACTCTCCAGTTGACAATTTTGACAATCCACATCCATTCCATCTGCTCTCGCAGATATCCAGCACTTCCAGGCAATATATTCGCGTTTCTTTGGCTACCTGGGCAGCCTCCCAGCCAGTCTCGTAGATAGTACGGAGATTCCACATTTCCGTAGTTATTCTTGCTTTCATCGAAAGAAGAGACATTGGCTGAGAGGATTTTCGAAGACATTCACTAGTCGGCGTCATTTCGTTTCTCCAATCTGAGCGAATAATAAGATTGTTGTAATTTGAGGTTTTTATATTTTCAATGCGTTTTCTGTGCTTTGAAGTTTCTCTAGCGGTTTGTTAGGTTTACTGGTGTGGGGATGCAAGCCCTCCCCCTTTTTAATCGAGCTGGGTACCAGCTAGAAATCTAGCAAGCTAATAACTAGGCGAGAGTAGCAAAACTCGACCATAACTATTTGGAGATCTAGGTATGAATTTAGACACATAGATGCATTCAATTTTCCCCTCGTTCCCTTCGTGAATGGAAAGTGTCACCACTTCTCTTGGTTGTATGATGACTAGTGATTAGGCAACAAGTGCACAGAAAGTTAGTGGATTCCAGTTTCTCTACTGTTATGCAGCATTTAGATTATTACGGCTGTTAGCTTCTTTTAAGAGAACTTATTTGAGTGTGGTCATGGTATGGGAACGCTCAGTGACCTCAGTTTTTCACTTGATTTTGACTCAACAAGGGTTCTTGCAGCACCTTGTGTACCCTATGGTTCTGCATTCGATCTAGTGCAACTTAAGAACATTTTCACCAGTTGCACAAAACGCTTGAATATGACTGCAGGCGACCTTGGAAAGCTGATTATTTTGTAGTCGAATATGGCAAGAATGCCTTCAAATCGCCGAAATATTATATCCAATTAGCTACCTCCATTACTAAAATGACCAAAGTCAACTTTTCTCCCTTTGGTTTTTTTCAGAGGAAAAATGTGAATTTTGACATTAAAAATAATTTAAATTCTGTGGATGGTATTAAATTTTCTTAAAAATAGCTAAAAAAGAAGAAGGTTTGTAGTGTTGTTTTAATGGAGCTTTGAATCAATAGTTAGTTGCGTTCAATATTTTCTGTGAGTTACTCAGTTCGACCATATTAAAATTCCTTATTTTGTTATTTTTGATTCATGTTAATATGGTATTCGGTTTTTTCTTTGGGAATATGTTACACCAAAGTATTGTTTCGTGATAATTTGAGTCCCGCTGGCGCTATGTTGTGCCGCAGTTTGTCCAATAACCTTGTCCACTGAGCATTGATGTAGCAGGTAGGAATTTAGTCGTACTGCTTATTTTTATGATGACTTGAAATAGGAGTCATTGCAGCGTTCAGAAATGTTAGCTGAAACCCCAGTGAAAAGTAATAACCAAAAATATGACTGTCACTTCCGGATATCAGTTGAACTGATCATTCCTCCTCAGGATTTGTAGTGTATGCACTTCCGAAATTCATGAACATCTTTCATACAAAAGCTATTATTCCTTGACTAAAATAAAATTACCCAACAGTATTTGGTTTTTATGTTGTGTTGTTTACAAAGTGACAGAAGTTTTATAGTTATCATGAATGTTAGTTTAAGAACTTCCCGATGAAAGTCTGCTGTGTAACGTTGACTTCCAATATAGTTGGGGAGTAAAAAGTGTGTTACTTTGACCCGTGCTCTTGAGTTAAAAACGATGGATGGATCAAGTTTGAAGTCTTATTTTTGAGATGCATGTGACCTGGTTATAGTTATTAATTTCATGGAAGATACCGATCTGAGAAAATTGTAGTCCAGTTGACAATATGAACCTAATTGTATTTCATTATTCGAGATCATAACATTAGTTGACTGTTGCATTCCCGCTAGACAATTTTCCCGTGTCAGCTTCTGTTGGAAGTTACTGGTTTGAGGACTGAATGTGAAAACACCACAACAATAATTAGACAGTCACGAATGCTTTCTCTCAGTTCCCTCTAACATGATTCCACCAAGCTAATTTGGCATTTTGGCAACAAATTTCGCTATTTTTATGTAGCTATAAAACTGGAATGTACCTGTGCATAACTGCCGCAAGTCCAAGTTAATAAAACATGGAAAGTTCAAAGAAGGTGGCTCTATGATAGACAGAGTTATGTGTAAAAGGGCAGCTTTATTTAGATAATTACGAGAGGTACACCATTAGAGATAGTGTAACGCCCGTTTCTCAACATCTGGCGGGACAACTAGGTGATGTATGCTCCACTGACAACTTCAGGGCAAGTCAGGAATCTCATGAATTCTAGCATAATTTTAATAATCACACCGTTCACTCACTGCATCCTAGCCCCAAACTCCGCTTCACAACAAACCGTTCATCATGTAGTAAGGGTAGCATATAGTTAGTCTACCCAGTAATCAAGTTAATTACCACTAATTTTGTATTGGCAGTAAGGATGGCAAGTCCATCATACTCATGTTGAATTCAACATGAAGTACACTATCTATTCTTCAACAGTCGATAGGTATCGCGGAATCCTCTTCACTACGCATTCGTATGCCCACATGTAATATCGTATTATTAGGAAACCAAACAGAATTCTGCATTCGTAGCAACATGACAACAAACTTCTGAGCAATATACTACTTTTCACTACTTGCAATCTTTTCAGTTGTGAAAGCTGACCAATAAAGTCTCAAAAGTCCTAAAAGTGAATTCGGCAACTACCCTCCTTTAGTATCTCTTGGTTATGAGACCTTTTTTGTGCATGCCGCAAGGAACATTCTCCTCTTAGGAAGCCTCCTTCGTCTTAAGCAACTCCTTTCATTAAAATAACTTGAATTAAGTTAGCTAGAACTTACTCAGTACTGAAAAACACTGGCCGATGGGCAACATCTCCCTATGGTTGATATAAAATAAGTGAGGCACTGAAAGACTACATGTGACCGAGATTCGGACACTTTCTGGTTTATAAGTAAATATCTCATAATGTCTAAGGGAGAACTAACTGCTTCTCTATCTTGTTAACTAATTTGCCAAGGTTTCTATTTGTCCTCATGCATACTATATACATGGACCGTTGTCCACCATACATTGTGTATGATTAGGTTGGCTAAAGTTGAAGCGGTCACCAGTTTTGTTTTTCGTCTTATAGACTATTCCTTCGGATGTTTAACGTGAATCAAGCTGTAAATCAAAAAAAAAAAAAAAAATTGCTTGCTGTAGTATAATTATAATTTAAGATGTAAAGACTCAAAACCATAGATGTTATGTGCCTGTATGTTTCGCTGTGTTGTTTTATCCACACAAAACGTGACTTGTATTCAGCAGTTTCATAGATGTAAAGTAGACCTTAAACCACTGACACCAGTTCAGAATCAATACATTTTCTCATTCTTGCTTATCTAGTAATACGAAAATCGAAGGTTCAAATGGGTTTTCAACATATTAACACCCCGTTATGAAATTTCCACATAGTTCGCTGTTTCATTCTTAATGTGATAGTAAGGTCTTGGTGTAAATTTTGGAACTACAGTGAGTTGCTGTCTGAGAATATGAGGGACTCGAAAATCCACTGGCCTCCCCAGTTGAGATTTTTAGAAAACAAGAGGATCTGATGGACATAGACCAGGTCACATGGTTCATAATTGAACGCACACAGCACAGATTCATTTGGATTGTAACATCGCACTTTTTTGCTTTCTTTTCCATTACAACAATTCACAACACTGTGGTTTTGTTTGCACGTGTTATGAATGACAACTGTTGCGTAGAGTAGAATATCCTAACTGATGTCAATAGACTGACAACAAAATTATTGGCTCGTGTTTTCTTGTAGACCTCTGTCTTCGTTCTCATGGTCACCATACCTTTGACATTGACTTCAAAATGTATTTAGTGGTATCGAATATTTGGATCGTGAGCCGCTGTTTCACTTTACAGTCCTTATCAATAAATAGTTTGTAGTTAGACTTTTGAATGTTATGTACAAATCTACAATCATTCGAGTTTAAAAAGATAGTCTTCCTGTGACTGTTGTGGAGACCAACTGGACAATTTTCGAATGTAAGAACGTATCAGTAGTCATACGAGATGTTTGGGAGAACCTGAACTGAGGAAATCGGGAAAGTTTTTGGCTTTTGTGTGGTTCTGGTGATTGAGTGTTCACGCTTCGACATTTTTTGAACGACGGTATATCCACTGACTCCCAGCACTTATCTTTCTTACTAACTTGAAGTCGGCATTGTGTTCTGTCTCTCGAAGGATGTGGTGGCAATGTTTGGTTATAAAAAGAGTGCCAATGAAATAATTTGTGTAAGTCGGGGCACTTTACTCGAACTCATTCAATCATGTTAAAGTTTATGGAGCGATGATATGAAGACATACAATGATCTCTGCCTTCATTCCGTTCCTTGTGTGAAGCAACGTGGTAATGATGGCACTAAGTGTACACCCAAGAAAATTTGTGAAGCTCGATCGGTTTAGATGACTCGTACACTTATTACTCACGTCGCATTCATTGCCGTTTTTGTTGAGCAATGTTAGATGAAGTTAGGTAGAAAAGCGTTTAGCTGTATTCCTACAAAACCACCAGTTCATGAATTGATTCTCCAATGATCTGAATCATATTGGTCGGGCCCGTTACAACGCTAAATATTTATGATTTGAAACTCTTTGACATGGCTTAAAATCATTTGCTATAGCACAGTTGCATTCACTCTTTACCAGCTCTTAAAAATTGTCACTTTTTTATTGAATCTTTTTATTAATGCCTACCTCCACTGTAGTATCACTTTTGTGTGCCCTTTTCACCATTTTATACTAAGTTTAGCGGTGACTTCGTGTGCTTTTGGAAGTGTGTGGGTGGTTTCTACTTCCCGGTTGCCCACACCGTGGAAGTTGATTGAATATTCGGGTACCTGAAACAGAAAGAGGGTTAGTGTTGCGTGACCGCAGACCCCAGGAGATAAATGCTTGAGGTCGGTCACACACGGCTTGTATGAACTGGTTTCTGGGATTGGTTCCGTATTAGTAAACTTAGTGCCGGTTACGGAGCACCGTAGGGTAAGTCAGGATGTACAATTGTTGGGATCGACTTTTTCTAATCCCCTCTCTCGGGAGTGGAGAGACAGCATAGCTGGCATGCTGGTTATCTGAGAGAAACACTTTACTGCTGTTACATCCCTGTCCCCCAGCAGTATGACTTAGCCCACAGACCCCGAGCATAGTGTAAAAAATTCTTACATAATGCCGTTAACTGCTTTTAGTCTAATCGCTATCCTAACAACCTTCCTGGCATGGTAGGACGTGCAGGAACAATAGTTCCAGCCAGTATAGCATGTTGGGTCATTGCGATGTGCAAGCCCAACCACCACGTCAAGGTAGCAGCTATCGATCGGGCCATTAAGAGTGGAAGACATGAAAAGGCTAGCTGTCTTTGACCATAGGTGCCTGCATTCTATCTCCCGTGTGAAATGGTATAATAGGGTGAGCAACATTGAGGTTAGGCACCGAGTGCTAGGTAAAGAGAGGAAATCAATAGACGAGGCTGTGAAGTTACATAGATTGAGATGGTTAGGACATGTGTTACGTATGCCTAGCCATCGCCTTCCTCGACGGGCAATGTTAGCTGACATAGGATCAGGTTGGAAAAGAGCCAGTGGTGGTCAAACCAAAACATGGCTTCATCAGTCAATGAAATCCACAACAGTTAGTTTAAGCCACATAGGAAGATGTAGACTTCCTGGTTGGGGTCCTCAGGACGGTAAACACCAATGGCTGCAGACAATTGGTGATATGGCTCAAAGTGATCATCCTCAATGGCTGGCGTAGATGGATCCACTCCTTGTGACTTATAATTACCAATAAAACTATATTGTTCTCCGATATTCCTATTCTTTTTGCCTCATGTCTCTGTTTACTGTTTCTGTTTTACATTTCCTTTTACTTTCTTCTCTGGCTTTGTGTGCTGAGTGTAGCGACTCGTACTGCTGCACATCAGTGCAAAGTTCTATGTTGAAACCAGTCAGTTAACGTTGGCTTATTTTGGTGTATTGTGTAGAAGTTTAAATTAAAGCTCAATTTTTCTGTCAAATTAGGTATACTGGGGTTTAATTGCTCAACTTCCTTATTAGCTCTGCCATGGGCAGTATACCATAGCCAAATGCTTTTTCCTCACTTACAATGTATATCTCTATCTTTAAAGCCTGTCATCTGTAATAAGAGTTCTTAAGATAGACTGTTCATTTCAGTTGTTTTAAGCTGCGCAGAGAACATGAGATTTTTTAGTGGTTGGTTGTAGCATTCTTATCAATAGAGTATTATTTTTGCGACTCCCGACGAAGATGACTTCATAGTGTCAGCTAGGTAGTTGTTTTTTTGCATTATAGTTTGATTTTTTAATTGTCTTGTTCACCGAAATGCCTTATTTTTACGTATATTTATTAGGATCCATGATTGCGAATCAACACAATAATGCAGCTGTTGCGTATAATTTCAACGCTGCCAATCGACAGCAAATACAAATTGTCGATGCAAATACACTGCAGCCTTTAACGCAATCAATGGTAACTGGAGAATACAAACGTGATGAGGCTGTCGCTGACAATACTCAAATTATCTATGGCACAGCTACTACGGCTGCTGCAAATTTTGCACCTGTGATGGGTCAAAATATTCAGCTTGTATCTGCAGTACCAAATGCAGTTGAACTAGCAAACAGTACATTCGACTCGTCAATGATTGTTCCCCAGGAGCCTTCACAAGCAGGTATGGATATGGAGCCCATCGACTTGGAAGAGGTTCAGAAAATTCAAGCCCGTATGCCTGCTGCTGATCCTAATGCTCCTGTTGGTTCAAACAAGAATCCCATTAGGATTATACAGCAAGGAAACCAATACATAACCACCCAGGATGTTTCCGACGAGCATTTACAACAAATAATCCAAGTTTTAACGAACCAAGCATTACTGTCAAGTAGTACCTCTCGACCGAGTGCTATTTATAATCGTCTTACAAATCGCCGCATTATATTTCGCGTAACACGTGCCAAACGTCGTCGTGACAGTAGTAACGCTGATTCTACAACTCATAGTGGTGATCGAAGTAGGTCAAGCGTTACTGTGAAAAGTGAAAAGAAGAACAGAATAGGTCGGCCTATCGGAAAAAAGCGTAGAAAGCGTGATTCAGACGAGGATCCTGACTTTGAACCTGAGGTTCCAGAAGAAGAAGTGTTACCATTTCCACTAATGAGGCGAACATCTGCATCTGGTCGAGTTTCTAAGCCACCGAAACACTTGGTGAGGAGTGTTTGTTTACTGTTTGCTTGTTAACATAAAACCCTAATGTTTATATCGCTGTTGAAAACTTAGGTGGAGTAAATTATGTGGAATAATAAATTTATGATAGTTTGCTCATTGGCTTGAGCACCTGAATTTCAATCAAGTTGGTCATGAATCGCAAACTTATCTCAGTGTCTAGCCTTGGCAATATGGTGTAGCCTGTAGCATAGGACACAAGAAATGTGTACCGGGTAACTGATTTAAATGGTTATCCTAGAAAGATGTAATGCAGAAAATTCATTATTCGCTAACTTAAGTAGTTGGAAGCACCTTCACTGATCCTTGGGTCATATTAAATTGGACTGCTCGCATACCTCGTGAAGACGTGTGTCTGAATGTACTTAATACTTCATAATTCAGAAATTACTGGTCACTTTTATGAGATGTACATTAGGTATACAGCTTCATACCATTGCTTTATATCATCCGCATTATTTCATTTTTTCTATTCCTTTACGTTCCGATTGAAACATAAGACTTCAAGCTAGAGCTTTGAAGTCCCGGTAACAGTAGTTTTATGTTTATAGGGTGGGGTTACTATCTTCACGCTTAACCTTCCTTTACTACCGGCTAAGTGAGTTTTAGGAGTGCGCCGGCCGGCCGGCCGGTCGATCGAACTCCGGACTACGTGCGTGGTTGGCGAGCGTCCTACCGCTGAACCAGAAACGTTACACATCATTCACATGCTACTTAAAAGTTGGTGTTGTTCACTCTCTGATTCCTCCGTAGATTAGTGGGATACTTTGAGTGTGTGTTTTTGATTTTCCATTTTTATTGGTTAAAACAGGTGTATGTGAGGCAAAAGTTATTTTCTGAATGTTAGTCTAAAGTGTGTGTGTGTGTGAAGTTTCTCTTTCTCAAAAACTTCATTTTCCCTCTGAAATTTCAGGTTAAAGATTACAAACATTTAAGGCTAGAAGATTTAACATCTAAACCAGAGTCGAGTGAAGATGATGATCATTCTGATGGAGGTTATTCGGATTATATTAACGATGGCCTATCTGATGAAGGCTGGTCCGAGGACGGCGCTAATAAAAGTAAGTTTATATGTTTACATATATATATGTGGTGCGTCAGTGGAGAAGAGTTAGAATGTTCGCCAGTCACTCACGTGGTTCAGGGTTCGATCCGCGGCTGACTCACTCCCAAACCTCGCTGAACCGACAATAAGAGACCTGTAAAGAGGCAGGGTTGGGCATGAGGTTAGCAACCCCCACCCCGAAACTTCAAAGCTGTAGCTTGAAGCCCTATGTTCCACTAGCAGTGCGACTTAATAGAGAAAAATTCAGTGCTTTCATTCGCTTTTATGGATTCAGTCATATTTTTGTGAATTTATTATAACAATGCATATTGTGAGCTAGATCAATAAGGTTTTTAGGGCTTACCTGTGATTGAAACCCCGACACTATATTTGTATACTACTCTGTAATCTAGCTACAATATCGTTGTGTATGAGCTGACAATAAAGCAGCCAATCCATTTGGTTTGCATTTCATGTAAAATGGTTGGCGAGTCTCATTATGTGAATGGTGCCCAATATATATCCGAAATTAAATACCTTTTACTATGGTACTGTAAATATTTTCATATCTCTAAAGTAGATCTCACGTGTGTTTGTGCGGCTGGGCAAGAGTAAAGAATCGTTACCACCGCCGAATGACTTTGAGCTAACCGACCAGATCTCTGGACACTACACAAGGATGCTTCTCATAGTCTTCGTTGCAAGTTCCACCCTGATTTAGAGTTTGGGCTAGGGTTACGCTTAAGATTAGTGTAGGGTTAGGGTTAGACAATGAGTGGGGTTACTGCTGAGGTTAGACTGAAACTTGCAGCGAGGACCACGAAAAGCCACCATTTGAAATGCTGAGCAATACTGACTACCATCACTAGGTTATATTCATCATAAAGTCAATGATTTATCATGATTAGTAAATCCTGTTGCTGGATGTTGGGCATATTAAAGACAGATTAATCTAATTAGGATGGTATATGTCTATAACTCCTATTAAAAACTGGGACTTCTTTCTGTAGCATATTAGAGACATATACCCTGTATAATTCATATAAATATATATATATATATATATATATATGAAGCCACTTTTTACGCAGAAACACATGGTTGATTGGTTGGTGAAGGCCCCATAAAAACACCTAGTTATTGCCGATGGTAGGTGGACTTCAACCTTCTCGAAATACTCTCAAGTGGCCACGCGTTCATAACTTCTGACAGGTAGGTAAGCGCTATTCACTGCCTTCACGCAGTCGAGGTAGAGAGTTCTTCACAGAAGTGGAAGGGTGAGTGAAAACGCCTGGGACTTAAAACCGGACTGGTGGACCTGCTGGTCTACCAAGGGAAGCTAGGAAAGAGACCCTATGGCGCAAATGATGTCTATTCTTTACTGCTGCTATAGTTTGATTTCCTTTAGTTACTGCCATAGAAAGACAATATGTATATAGGACATTAAGAGAAAGAGGTGTCACATAGAGTACAATTTTAACTGTTTTACTTGATATTCGTAGGCGGGGAGGAAACTATTTCCTTTTGACAGTTGGCTTTCCCCTTAACCATTATTTTGAACCCATTAAGATGTATTATCTTCAATGAAATTTCATGTCGGAAATCTGGGGGTTTGTCGAGAGACTTTAATCTGCAGCATATCTTTTTTGCTGGCTAAAACAGACTAAGTTTCTGAGGTTGTATTCAACGTCTACATCTATGTTGTGACAGTGACTACACTTTGATTAGTCATCCTTACTATGACTTAACAGTATATGATTTAATCACTATGTAGACATTGTTTCTCACATAAAACATAACAGATCTTGCATACATAGCAGTGTTTACATTGTCTGTAAATGAATTACTGAATTTCTCCCTGTTTTATTTTGATATGTCTTGGCCTAAATGCCTAACAGTTTCACAAATCTTTTTTTTTTCCTTCTGAATTTTAGGTCTACGTTGGCCTTGTCCTCTGTGCACTAAAGTGTTTACTTCTCGCGCTGGAGTCGCTCGACATCGAAGTATTGCCCATGGTCCAAATCGTGGTCGACCCAGAGGTCGTTGGGCTAATCCGTACATGGCGAGTGTTCGGCGTAGAGCTAAACTGAAAGAAGTAAGTATTGCACATCATATCATGTGGTGATACAAATGTGACACTGTTTTGTAGCTCAAAGTATATAAGCTAAGCTAAGTATTTTTTTTGTTGTTGAGTGATTCGCGGCTCTAACAAACTGAAGCGATTCATTTCGATTATTAATACTTTCTTTTTTACCCTTATCATAGATGTACTGAATATTTGAGATCAGGTGAAAATTGAGAATTAATTTAGGTTAAGTTGTTTTTATATATGTGTATGATAGTATCATGTCAAGGTATCATTTACGTAATTTATGTAACCAGATAGTGTAACTAGCAGTCCCCCGCCACCCCTCGACGTCCTGGTTTCTTTTCCCACTGGAGATCATTCAAGGGGATTAAAGCTAATGTTTGGATTTCAGTTGTGGACTTATAACAATGGTTGTTTGGCTTTCAATCTATTTCTTTCAACACCAATCAAGACACGAACGTGACTACTATTCGTGGTTACCCGCCCCCCCCCCCCACTTTCGTCAAATTGATCGTATTAGGTGGAACGTTACAGTAAATACTAACGAGTGTACAAGTTAATCTGCGTGGTCAAAGTCACAGATTTCACGATTACAAGAATAGATTTTTATCATGAATCAACATTGATTAAAGAATCGTTGAAAACCAGGGAATACTGGACAGTTGGAAATTCTCCATCATTTAGCATCCGCGACCCCATTACCACCCAGTCAGCGTTCGAACTGATTTTTGTGGCTTATGATTAAATGTAGCTTGAGATAAATTGAAATTCACTCAAACCCAACACGTTCAAAGTTTATGATCAATATTTTCAAACGTGAATACTTTAACTCTTCTTATACCAAGAGTGTCGACTGAAACCCAAGTGCCTTTGTGTATTACTCAAAAACGACGCTATCACTGCTGTTCCTCTTCCTTTTTCAGGAGTTGGTTAGCTTTTGGGGATTTGATTTATTTCAAGATTGATATCAGTTGAAGAACCATTGAAAACCAGTGAGCACTAGATAGCTGTTTCGTCCTAGTCTGGGACTCATCATCACCAGGTTTCGAACCCAGGACATTCCGGTTACAAGACGACAAGCTTATAGACTATTAAGCCACTGGGAGTCAAATCATTGGCACACGAATAAATTCTGACTTCTACCAATTTGTGATCTTAGCGCAACCACCAACCAGCCAATCTATGAATGTTTGGCATGCGATTCGCTCCCACCAAATGTAAGATGATGTTACAGGATTGGAATACACCGACTCCTAGATTAGAAATAGGAAGTGAAGTGGCAGAGCACGTTGACCGCTTCACTTATTTGGGAAGTACCATCAGCCACTGCCAACGAGTTGATCTCTGACGAAATCTCAGCACGGATACAGAGGGCTAGATTCGCATATGCCAGTTTACGCCGTCTCTGGCGTAGACGTGACATCCGGCTATCGACCAAAGGGCGTGTGTACTGCTCATCAGTCCGCTCCGTCCTCCTCTATGACTGTGAGCGAGACATGGCCATTGAGAGTGGAAGACATGAAAAGATTAGCTGTCTTTGATCATAGGTGCCTGCGTTCTATCTCCCGTGTGAAGTGGTATAATAAGGTGAGCAATATTGAGGTTAGGTATCCGTCGAGTGCTAGGTAAGGAAGGGAAATCAGTCGACGAGACTGTGAAATTACATCGACTGAGACGGTTAGGACATGTGCTACGCATGCCTAGTCATCGCCTCCCTCGACCGACGGTCAATGTTAGCTGATATAGGGTCAGGCTGGAAAAGAGCTAGCGGCGGTCAAACCAAAACATGGCTTCATCAGTCAATGAAATCCACAACAGTTAGTTTAAGCCACGTAGGAAGGTGTAGACTTTCTGGTTGGGGTCCTCGGGACGGTAAAAACCAAGGGTTGGAAACAATTGTTGACATGGCTCAAAATCGTTCTCAATGGCCAGGACAGATGCATCCATTCCTTGTGACTTATGATTTCCAATTAAACTGTTTTGTTCTCCGTTATTACTATTCCTTTGTCTCACACCTCTGTTTACTGTCTCTATTATGCATTTCTTCTACTTTATTCTCTTCCTTTGTGTGCTACACGGAGTGTGGCGACTTAAACTGTCGCACATCGGTGCAAAGTTCTATGTCATAAACAGACCAACCAGCCAATGTCATCGGTGGCGAGTATTCGTCCCAATCGAACTCCAGGCAACTTCATGCTGTAGCCCCAGTCACTAGTGAGCATCGGGAGTGGGGCCCCCGGTGGTCGTGCTAAAATCACAATTTGTGGTAGATGTTAGTGCTCATGGGTCAATGAGTCCGGGTCCCAGTCAGTGCCTGAATGGTCTTTCGTTTTTGTCTTTTCACTAATATTGGAGTTTTTCTAAAGCATACTAAATTAGAATTTTAAATCCAGAGTAGACTATTTAGTTTTGTATAACAAATGATTGTCAATCAAGGGTGGTAGTTCATTTTTATGACTAAACTAAGTATGTGTACCATATAGTTGTTGCACCCTCCTAACATACAGAAATCTGATTACTTTTCGTAAGGTGAAATAAAAATCAGAAAATGAAGAAATTTTTTTACTCATATTTTGAGAGACCACTCTTCATTTAAACACAAACTTGATATAATAATATGGGCACCAAAAGATGCGCTACACAATCATATAACAACAATGTATAAAGAAATGAGGAAGAGAGAATGAGTATGAGGGACGTCTTCCAGTAAGTAAGCAAGCAAGCATACTTGTCGACAGCATTCAACATTCATTATTTCATTGTACTTTCAGAAAGGGAAGAAAAAAGAGGACATTTTTAACCTGTTCGCCATTGTTTACGATTCGTAGTCATATCTGATGGCGTTTCGAGTCACTGATTTGGCCTGTCTCTTGGACTCGAACCACGGAGTTGTTTGATATACCAACAAATGCTATTTAACACAAATATCCTTTATCCCAAAGTGCCAAGTCGTAGGCGGACCACATCTCCGATTTTTCTATCTAGTCTCAGAGCTAGCTAACAGAGACAGGTACAGAAGCCTCTGGAATAACATCAGTAGCACATGTCCAAGCCGCCGACGCCGGTGTTTCCATATGATGACACTCAATGAATGGGGAAGTCTGATGTCAAAACGCACACTGTTGGACCTTAGAATGAATTTTACTCTTAAAGTAAATGAAATTTTTTGTAACTCTAGAGGCTGTATGCTTTGCTTCCTTTTTCCCAGTAAGAATTCTCAAAAATTTTTTTTAAATATATTTTTTTCACTTCTTTAAAGGCTATTGCTGAGGCTACTGATGAAGATTTGATTGAATTTGTTGGACCGAAATTGTGTAAACTGATTAGTCCATGGGATCATCTGCTTTTACGTTCTGAACAAGGTAATCCTCCTCTGCCTCAAGTTCCTCGTGTTGTATTGGATTATTTGAGTTTAGTGGAGCGTGCTCGATCATTTCTTTCTGATCAGTTAGAGGCACAACCAAGACGTCCTAAAAATTCGAAAAAGACATCTGAAGGGAATTCAGAAAATCAGAAAGGTAAGGCAAATATAAAATTGTTTGAATTCTGTTTATTCCTATCACTTTGGTTTAGTTTTTTTTTGTGCTCATGTGACCATTCGTTTTCACTAACTGAAGAAATGGGAAGGTTAATTAATTTAATTTGTATACGATTTCAAGAAGCGAAACTCTCGGTTTTCAAAGGTCTGTTCGTCACTCACTGTGGTCGACAGATATCCGAGCTCATGCGAGAAATGGGTTAAAACCATATTGTTTGACTTTCAGCACCTTCTCTATTCACATTTCCCTCCCCATTGCATCTCATCAGGAAGGACTAGAAGTCACTCACTCACTCGCACAACTAAGTACAAAAACTCGACGATACCCTATTCAGCCAGCCGGCGTTCTATGTAACAGAGACAGTGTGAAGCGTATCATAAGTAGTACTGTGTCGGTGGCACAGTGGTTAAGACTCTCGCCGACCATGCACATGGTCCGGGGTTCAATTTCCTGCCGACGCACACCTGATATACAATGGTCGGGCCTGCAAAATTTGGGCTACCGATATCACATGCTGAAAATTCCATACTTCTACCAAAAAAAGTACTCTGTGGAATCAAGCTGTAATCAAAATAAAAAAATAAAGTAAATCATTATTATTTGTTATTTTTAAGGTACTAAGTCGTCGGTAGTTTCTTTAGCCAATAATTTGTCTTATATGTGACACTAAAGCATCTATAATTTATTTTTTACATTGATTATGTTTTTTAATCAGTCCGTCTCGAAATTCCTTTAGTGTATGTCTGACTAGTATTAGAGTCAGTCTTATTTTAGACTCACTTTTAGAGTTAAGGTTACTTGGATGAAATGTTAGTTACCAACCAAAATCTTTGTAGAGACAAATGTGTGGCATATTTTCAGAATGAAAATAGTAACAACAGGATCCTGTCTTCTCTATGCGTTCTCACGATTCTTCTTCTTAACTCGCAGTAATATATGGAGTTATTCAATATTTCATTCATTCTTATTTTTGTATGTTGTATCGTTTGTTGGGATAGTATTGCTTTAAAATCTTATTCGGTTGATAGTTGCGTTGACTGGCTTCAGTGACTCAGGGATTGACTTGTTACCACCAGGGAATAATGTCGTTGACTTGGAATATGGAGATGATATAGTCCTTCTAGGTGAAGACGCTGATAAAATACAGCAGAGTCTTCTGAATACCTTGAGCGCTGCCATCTGCGAATGTTTGGCATGCGATTCGCTCCCGCCAAATGTAAGATGATGGGGCTACAGGACTGGCCTACATTGAAAACTCCTAGCTTAAATATAGGGAGTGAAGTGGTGGCTAGGCGTGTTGACCACTTCACTTATTTGGAAAAACTGATCGCTGATGAATTCACAGCACGCATTTAGAAGGTTCGTTTGGCATATTCCAACTTGCGCAATCCCTGGCTTAGTAGACGTGATATCCGATTGTTAACCAAAGGGCGTGTGTGCTGCTCAGCGGTCCGTTTCGTCCTCTTTTATGTCTGGAAGACATGAAATGCCTGACTAGCTGTCTTTGATCATAGGTGTCTGCGTTTTATCTCCCGTGTGAAGTGGTATAATAGGGTGAACAATAATAGGGTTAGGCCTCAGTCGAGTGGTAGGTAAGGAGGGGAAATCAATCGATGAGGTTGCGAAGTTACATCGATTGAGTGAGATGGTTAAGACATGTGCTACACATATCTAGCCATCTCGTGCTTCGAAATCGAATCAGGTTGGAAAATAGCTAGATGTAGTGGTCGTCAGAGCAAAACATGGCTTCATCAGCCAATGAAATCCACAACAGTTAGTTTGAGTCAGTCACATAGGGAGGTGTGTAGTCTTCCTGGTTGCGGTCCTTGGGATGGTAAAAACCAATTTAGGCTGGAGACAATTGGTGATATGGCTCAAGATCGTTGTCAGTGATAGTGCAGATGCATTCACTCATTGGGATTTGTCATATCGAGTTGAACTCCATCGTTCTCGCATATTACTAATCTTTTTCCTTGACACTTGTGTTCATTATCTCCCTTTACTCTTTTCTCTTGCTTCGTGTGGTACACTCTATGAGGAGTAGCAAGTTGAATTACTGAAACCAGTCAGTCAGTCAGTGATATTTGTGCCTATTATAATAAATAATCTGGTATACATAAAACTAGAGTTATGAAATAATTACTTTACAAATATTTTTTTTCTCTAATCTACGTGAAGGTGAAACGAATGAAGCGGGTGAATCCCAAGCAGATGGTGAGGGATCACAAAATAAGTCAAAATCTCAAGAAAATGGTGTTGGTGAGGAAGAACAAGATGGCCAGGATGGGGAGGAGGAAGAGGAAGACGAAGAGGATGAAAATGATGATGCCATCATAGTTAAGGTTAGTCAGTGTGTGTGTCCCATTTTGTACTGTTATCATCATTCCTTTTTATGGTATCCTCAAACTCGTCAGTTAAGTTTATGTAACTTGATATAATCACTCTGATGGGCGTTTTTTCTTGATGACTCAGTAACTTTCTGAATATATGTCGCCAGTGTTCCCCAACCCCCACGCCACACACCTCTTCCCTGCAAACCACTCATTTGCATTGATGCTTTATTTGTGTAGTAGTCTTTTGATTTGTATCCACTTTACACACGATCTTCTCCATTTCACCCTTGGGAAGACTGTGTGATGATTTATGCTACCTGTATTATCTTCCTTGCAAAGCAATATGGATTGTTTAGTTGAAGTAGGAAGTATTCTGTGAAGTGGTCAAGATGATGATCTACTTCATGCATGACAATAAGTCCCGTAGTCGCTTTCTTATTGATGTGGATTGAAACGTATTAGATAAGTTGAATCAGTGGTTTGAGGCGAACGGTGATACACAATTGGATAGATAGATAGCAGTGGTGTGTATTGATTCTTACCTTCATTTATCTGTATTTCTATTATTATTTTGTTCATGTATTCTCTATCTTCAAGCTATATAACATGAAAATATGTGTGTAGAATGTGGCTCATTGGCTTAAACACACGGTTTTCAGTCGATAGGTCACAGGTTCGAGTACCACTCCACCCCTACCTCAGCGTGAGTGACTGGGTGGTAGAATAAACAGCCCTGTGACTCTTAACCTTGTAACATGAGAAAAAATCTGTTCCAAGTAGTTGAGCTGAAATATATGTGTAGTGTAGTGTTATGCCCTTCAAATTCTTTTGTAACTGTATTAATCGGTTCAGGTTAGCTTCCATTGGTCGTACTTGCTATGTGATGACCTACGATATTACTTAGTTACCTAGGCGTCCCAAGGTAACATGGAGGAGGAGATCAGAGACCATGGGTAATCGTGAGGCTAGCTAAAGAAAGCCGCAGAGGATAGGACAAAGTGGAGATGGGCTGTTGAAGCCCTATGTTCCATTCGCAACCCAAGGGAACAATAATAATCATACTCAAATGTTGGTTTGCAGGTATTTGACTGTCTGTCTGCATTCAACATAGAACTTGGCACCCCAGTGCAGCAGTTCGAGTTGCCATGTTCCAAATAGCACACAAAGGTAGACAAGAAAATGAGTGAAGAGAATCAATGGAGTTTTGACAAGTATAAGAGTGAAACAGAATGAGTAATGGTAGAAAGGAATATGAAAGATTATAGAGACTGAATACACCTGCGTAAGTCATTGACAACGATTTTGAGCCATGTTACCTATTGTCGCCAGCCATTGATTCTTAGAGTCCTGAGGGCGGGCCCCAACCCGGAAGTCTGCATCTCCCCACCTGACTCAGTTTAACTGTCAGGGATTTCATGGATTGATTGATGCCATGTTTTTGTTTGGCATGGCACCACTTACTCTTTTCCAACCTGCACCTATGTCAGCTAGTAATGCCCGTCGGGGGAGGCGATGGTTAGGCATGCGCAGCACGTGACCTAGCCATTTCAATCTATGTAACTTTATAGCCTCTTCGGTTGATTTTCCCTCCTTGCCCAACACTCTACGGCTGACGTCAACATTACTTACCTTATTATACCACCTAATGTGAGAAAAAGATCGTAGACATCTATGGTCAAAAACAGTCAACCTTTTCATGTCTTCAACTCGTATTGGCCATGTTTCAGAGCCATAGAGAACAACATATTTGATTGCTTACAGGATTTCATCATGAGCTGACGCAGATTGGAGAGAGAACCATTGAGAAATATGTTAGTACTGGACTAGTGTTTCGTCCTAGTGCTTGAGACTCCTCAGAAATACGCGCCCACCGACCGGGGTTCGAACCCAGGACCTTCCGATTACAAGGCGAACTCGTAGACCATTTAGCCACTGGGAGTCGACTCAATGGCCAACCAATGAATTCCAACTTCTGCCAATTCATGATATAGCGCGACCAATAGCCAATGTCATCGCTGGCGAGTATTTGTCCTCACACTAATCATAATAACCTAGGCTAGAGGATAACTGTGGTGTAAGCTGTGAGCCCATTAGTTGGAAATCATCTAGTGTTTAGCCAATCCAATGCAAATCCAGAAAGATAATCTGATGTGGAACGTGATAAATATGACCGCTACTCAGTTACATCTAGTCTTATACACATATTGTCTGTTTGTTACTTAACACCATCATACAACTCAAATTTTCCTATAGAAAATTAATCTTGATTTGAGTAACTTCTCTTCAGTTTTATATCTGTAGCTACTCATTAGTAGTCTGTTTTGTTTTCATGTTGCAGTTAGTTTCATTGCAAGTAATACTTTGCTTACAATTTTTGTTTTGTTTTTTGTAATAATATTTAGGTCGATACAGATGAACAGTCAGCAGCTTTAGGTTTACCGCGTGGCAAGTATATTGTTAAAGAACCTTTATGTGAAGAATACCTGCCTAGACGTTTTCGATCAGTGCTGGCAGCACAACGAGCTAAAGCAGCTGCTGCAGCAGATGGTTCCGACTCTGATAATGCCAGTGTAGGACATGCAAAACGTGCAGTGATTGCTGTGGAAACAGCTGAAGACGATGAAGTGGATGCAACACTACGCAGTGAAATAACTTCAACTGAAGGCAATACAAATCAAGCTACAGATAATCAATCTCAAAATATAATTTCATTGGGTGAAGAATTGGTGAGTAGTAGTAGTAGTAAGATTGTGATGATGTTAGGAATCTAGGTGTTATAGAGTTACGTTGAATAATCCATTGCATGCCACGCATCAAATGTGTGTCAAATTTTGTAGTTGTCTCAAATTTCCGAGTAACTGTGCAGTTCTTAGTTTTAACAGTCGTGGTGTTTATATTCCAAGGAGAAACACTACTGCTACAAATAGTAGTCATATGACTTCTTAGTATCCCACTGCTCTTCAGTCAATGTTTTTGCACATACACTTATTGTTTTATTATTATTATTGCTGTTATTATTAATTCCTTTAATTCCTAAAGAAACATAGGGCTTCAGCCGTGCGTCTCCATTGCGTTCGGTTGTCTGCTAGAGTTATCACCTGGCTCCAAGTCCGCCTACACGCTTTCATCTCCTCTTCACATCACCTCCTCCGAGTCACCCTTGCACTGACAACCAACTCACAGCTTCTCATTCGGGTTCCACTCGAGCGATGGCCTGGTGAGTGGTGTCACTCACTTGATGGTTTGTTTTCTCAGAGTACAGCCAGTTCACCTACCTCCATTTCTCCACGCATATATGTTGCACAATCAGTTCCTGCTGGGTTAGTTCGCTCATTGCCAGAGATCCCTCACTATTGCTGATCGTTTCTTGTCCTCTGATCTTGAGCGAAGTATTGAGTGAATACAGCTGTTAATGAAGGTCTGTAGTTTGTTTGATGTGCTCTTTATGACGCGCCAAGTCTCTGATCCGCATAGTAGCACTGGCTTCACACTTGAGTTAAAAATCCGGATGTTACTTTTCATGCTGAGTGCTGTTGACCTCCATACAGACTTGAAAGTAATGAAAGCTTGCTTTGCTTTACCGATGATCCTCGCATTAATATCCTCGTCTGTTCCGCCGCCTGTAGTTGAAACTATGCTTTCCAGGTTCGTGGTAAAGAAGGTTGCTTCTTTCAGATTTCTGCCATTTATGCTGGCTGATTGTTGACTGTTGTTGTTGTTGCGGTTGGCCAGGAATCTTCATCATCTACATCTATTTCCTCCATGTTCACCTGAAGTCCTATCTTTGATGCTTCTTCTGCCAACTTGTTGCTTTTCACTTGCATATCTTCCAGACATATATCATCGGTGATGTTCCAGATCCTCCAAGTTTTTTGTTTGGGTCCATCTTATGCCTGTTTCCTTGTTGCCCACTGACTGTCGCATTACCCGGTCTACTGCAATCAGGAAAATCATTGGCGATAGTAGGCAGCCTTGTCTTACTCCCGTCTTCACTTCGAAGGATTCCATTAATAGCCATGTGGTATATTGCTTTCATAAGAGAGTGACAGTTTTCGGGGAACTACGAGAGTATTAATAATAGGGGAGCAACTAAACCTGAAACACTTCTATGAACAACTCGATCTCTTCACGAATAATTTCAAAGTATATCTCATCAGGACCAACATCAGTTAGTATGAGATCATTGAAAGCCAGGAAGCACTGGGCAGCTGTTTCCTTGGTCCTAGCTAGGGACTCTTTACGGTGCACATCCACAGACTCCAGCAAGGACACATCTAGGTTAGTGAAGAGATCAAGCTCACTGACCATTGACTCGCTTGGGCTGGAATTCAATGACGCGTGACTTCTAGCTTTGTCAGTCATCCTGGGTTCTATTGTGGCACGGTGGTGAATGCACATTTCTGAAGAGTCTCGAGTCAAGACGAAACAGTTGCCCAGTACTCCGTAGTTTTCAGTCGACTTTGACCAATGTAGGTTCTTGTGGGGTTGTGTCCTCTAAGCTGGGTAATTTAATTGCGAAGGTCTCATTATCTTACTAGACAACATCCTTAGCGCATACTTCAAGTTGAAGTGAGCCCTTCAGAATTCTGCACGAGTTTATTAGTCATTTCTCCGAGTAATCTGAGAAATGATTGGTTCTTTTTGCCTATTTTCTCACCTTGTAGTTTAGTTGTATTGGTATTTTATTGTTTCTTTGACCTGGAAGTTGATTTTTTGTTCATGTGTCTTCCTTATCATGGATTGGTAAATCTTGTCTATATCAATGTTTCTTTTCATTGATGATTCACTTGGAGACCAGGTTTCTAGAAATTCTCTAGAGTTTTCAATGTCTTCTCTGTCCAAGATTTAAACATAATCCCAATCAAATTAACGTCTGTGTTTGTCTGTATGCAACTATATGAGGGAGTGGATGTCGTGTCTTTTGACAACAATTTTACGTTCATGGATACGAAAATGAATAGGGTGTCCACTTTGACCAATGTAATGATTTTCACAGTCGTTGCAGTTTACCTTGTAGATGATGTTAGTCTTATCTTCTCGCTCTGTCGAGTTGTTTGGTTGACATAGAGCCTAGTGAAGTGATTTTATTGGCTTGTGGACGACATCAATTCGAAAAGGTTTGGATAGTCTTTCAGTGATTTTGGCAGATGTTCTTTATATTATGGTAGGAAAATTTTCTTTGTGCTTTCATTGGGGGCCTATGATTTAGTTGATTTAGGTTAAGGGTAGGTGTCTTTTGATGAAGTTTCGTGGGTATCCCCCTTTTTTTACTTACTAAATGTCTCACCCAATGATTTCAAATTAAATTGGTTATAATAGGAAACGGTCATCTAATAGCGATTTTTAAAAGCTTTTTCTATCTGCTAAAGGTTTTCTAACGCGTATACAACTATACACATTCCTAATCCTATTCTAGCTCATTGATTCATCTCATCCATATGCCAATAAAATCGAAATTTTCAGCACTACATCATTTGTACTGTGATGGTTAACCGAGTTAGTTATGATGGGCATATGTGAGTGGATCTCTCACTTCTAGTGTGTTCACTACACACTTATATAATTCTTATTTTTTATTATCCGCTTCCAGCTTCTTCTTCCTGAAGGTGGTTTAGGCGGTCCTGTTCCAGATGAATGGCTTACCAGTGGTGCTTTTCTTACAGTATTAACTGAAAATGGTCAAACTAGTGATTTAGTTATGGAAGCTGCTACCGGCCGCCTGTTCCATCGTCCAACCGGTCATCTAGTCAGTCTAGCTGATTCTCAGCAAACAAATCAATCCGGTGAAGCCGGGGAATTCCAAGGGGAAAGTTATACTGCTGCATATTCACAAAATGGTGATGAACAATCAGTTTCAACATCGAAACAATCTATTCCTGAGAAACGTAAAGGTGTTAGTGGTAGTGTGTGCTAGTACATCAACAAAGTCGAAACCTTCATCGAAGCCACGGACTAAAGAAGAGCCTGATGCAGGCAATAATGATGTTTTATCACAACAAGAACAAATACTTGCACAACTTGCTGAGAATGGAGATGTTGTCGATTTGAATACACTTTTCCCTGGAGTATCTGTTACCGAAGTGTCACCTGGTGTTTGTCTGGTCACTAAACCGAATGGAGATCGTTTCAATGTAAGTCTCATTCAGATGACACTGTCGATGACAGACATTTTTTTCGACTTATCTGATTTCATGTTCAGTTTATCAGTTATTGTTACCGAAATGCGTTTGTCGAATATAAATTTAGTCATTTTGGTTATTTTCGGGAAAAATGTAAATGGGGAATAAAAAGTGGTTTATTTCGTATCCTTAGATCTTGTCTTCTGTGTGTGACCGACTGATTGAAAACGTAGTCAGCTAAATGCTACCAAATCCCCTGCCTAAGTGCTGGGCATACCGAACCGCTGCCTTCTTCTACGAGCGACTTTCGCTTAGACCAGGACCACCTGGAGTCACTCAATGAAATGTTTGACAGTAACTTTGAACCACGTAGGGAGGTGTAGGCTTCCTGGTTGTGGTTTTCTCGGGATCCTTAGAACCAATACCTGGAGACAATTTGTGTGATATGTCTTCCACACCGTTCTCATTGGGTGCAGATGCATTCATTGTCTGTGACCTCCCGTATCCACTAAGTCCTCATATTTCCGCCATGCATCTTTGCTCGTTATAGTTGTGTTGAATCGCTTTTCTCTACCTTTGTGTGCTGTATGGAGCTTGGCAACTTGAACGACTTCACTTCTACTATTGGAACTCAATCAGTCAGAACCCCCCCCCATCTTGTTAATTAGTGATTCTGTGTTACAGTCGTGAAAACTGAAGCTTTCAAGTTGTTTCATTATTTTTCTCTGAAAAGTGATTTATAATTTTGTGTATTGTTGTTTAAATCCAAAAGTGTGAAGCTAATTGGTGTGAGAATAAATATACGAGGTCATTCAGTATTATGTGTTTAGAAAAAGAACTTTCTAGGAATAAGTGAATTCAATGAAAACATCCCCGTTGGATGATCATTCATATTTCTGTACATTTTTGTAGTATTCACCTATAGAGGCCAACAGTCTTGCGTATTTCATACCTTATTCCAAGTCTAGTTCACTTTGATTGGGTTACTAGTTAGTAAATAGTGTTGTGAAGTGTCTAGTCCTTTGTTTGGTGCAGACTGATTCCTTATTGTCAGTCAAGTTTGCAATGTGGCCATCTCTCTAGATGGCTAGCCATCACAGTGCACTGTGAATTGTTGATATTATATGGTTGGAGGCAATCGGCCACACGATGCCTTGCTTGACTTGACCTAGGTTTCGTGTTGGTTGGCACTTGTTGACAAGGCGTATCTACAACCTCCTTGAAGAGAAACTCATGTCCCTTCTGAGGTTCGAACCCGTGTCACCCTGTGTTGCAGACTTTGCCACTGAGCACTCGCGCTTGATCTCACTTAGAAGTAGCACGAAACCTAGGTCCAAGGCTTCCTGCCGAATTATCTCCAATCAGCTAATATCAAATAACCTAGTTCACACGAAAAATGCCTCCACCTACTGGCTGATCAGACCCTGGTTGATTTGAAGTGGAATGCCTGAATAAATTGTGCATATATATGTATATGTATTGTACTACACCTCTTCACTGTGCATTTTTATGCTACTCAGCATAGTACTTGTTTATTCAGCAAAACATACGCAATGAACACTACACAAACTGACTGTGTGTTTTTTTTGAAGTCGTGTATAACGTTTTATTATTAATAAATGTACTTTCCTGGTGTATTAAAAAAAGAAGACTCATCTGAATTTCTCATATTTTAGGTTGAACATGGTGGTGAAGGCATAACATTGGAAACACTTCAAGCTATTCTACAGATGGATGCCTAGTTCAGACACTACTACTAGAACTACTACTACACGTGCAAATGTTTTTCTTCCTACATTTGATCTCTTGTAAATATCAGTATATATATAATATACACACATATATCAACAATCATTGTTTTCCACTGTCATTAGAACAAAAGTTCAGTAATCATCCACATTTCATTCTCTCCCCCAAATTGCCTAGCCACACCCCCCCAACCAACCCCCCTCCCCTGACGCCTCTCTCCGCCCCACGGATACCACTTACTTTTGTGTTTGTTACTAATGTATAACTTATATACATACATACATACATATACTAAGAATTACACAAATATTACACAAATCTCCTTTCACTTCAACCGCCTTCCCCACTCCCTAGGAGAGAATACCCCCCGCATTCCCATGTACAAAAGATTACCCAATGTTATATCCACTTTTTCATGCCGCATTCAATGTTTAATGACTAGTTTTTGAATACAAAAGTGTGGCAACACTAATCTAATCTAATCTCACTACTTCATCTTTACACCAATAGATAGAGAGAGGTATAATTTGTGGTTTATAATAATTTTTGTATTTTTTTCTCTTTTTTTCTTCTGCTCGATTCATTTTTATCTATGTCCATATATATATTTACACAAACATATATTCGTACTTGTATTCTCTGTATTATTTATTCTTAATAAATTAATAATAGTTTATATTGATTTTTTCCTACAGTTTTAAAATAAGAATCAAGTTTATATGAGGATATTTCAATTACTCTAGGTTCGTGTATCTTAAACTATCTTTTACTAACTTATAGGATTTCAACATGAGCTGATATAGGTTAGGTGGGAGTAGTGGACGGCAGCTGTTTCATCCACTTAGTTTGGGACTCTTCAGCAGTACATATCAACTGCCATGAGTTTGAACCCAGGACCTTCAGGTTACACAAGGCGATATGGCAGACTATTAAGCTACTGCGAGATGATCCTATGCGCATACACATACACATTGGTGAATGTATCATCCGATTCACGCACACACTTCGACAACTACCAATGAATCACGTCGAATATAATTATTATCATATAATCATTAACCCATTGGTTTCCATGTGCCACATACGGCTTCAACAACACATCTCTTTTTTTATTTGATTTACAGCTTGATTCCACACCGTATTTTCAGTACAAGTATGGAATTTTCAGCATGGATATCGGTTGCCCAAATTCAGGCATACCATAGATATCGGGTGTGCGCCGGCAGGGGATCGAACCCCGGACCATGTGCATGGTCGGCGAGAGTCCTAACCACTGTGCAATATAACACCAGGTAACTACCTACCTGAATAGGGCCAGTCATGGGCCACTGGACGGGTCCCAGCTATCCAGTACTCCGTGCAGGTTTTCTAATGGTTCTCTCACCGATGTCAGCTCATGATGAAATCCTGTAACCAATCAAATCCCTACAAACCAACACTTGATTAGTTATATGTCGAAAAATGTGACGAGCTGAATGCATATGAAAAAATAGGGTCAAATCGGTGGCCATGATTAATCATAATAGATTCATAAAATTTGCGGGGGTGGCGGTGGGAAGGGAATAAACTTAGGGGTTTTTTAAAATTGATTGGTGGATGGCTAGTACAAAAGTAGGATAGTAAGATTACGCTGATTACTTCATCGTGAAATAATCAATATGTAATATGAATGAAATACAGGCATATAATAAGAGGTGAGGTAGTAGAATTAGTAGCGTGGCGGGTGCTACTCATAAAACTTTGTGAGTAGTATATTGTATGTGGTGTTTTCTGCAAGATTCTTGAATAGCGAAGAATGAGAATGATGAAACATCCTTGTAAGACAGCATAGAAAATGTGAATAGACGACGAAACAAGCACAATACATAGAACATGTGCAAATAGTGATTTTAATTAATGTAAGGCATGTGTATTTCGCCATATCTATACCTCTATTTGCAACTGGAGAATTCCGTTACCAAATACTATTGCTATCACTAATAATAAATTAGAAGAGTTTACTAGTTTCTGTATGTATGGATAGTGTTCGAAGAATGATAGAATAAGGAGTATACATAGTAAAAGATTGGTTACTCCGTAGTGTTCAGTTAATGTAGCCCTTGGAGTTCTAAAGAAAGTGAATCGTTAGCCCGAATAACTGATTGGTAATCTCTCCGACTGCAATATTGTTCGACATAACGTATCAGTCCTCTCAAGGCTGTAGTAACGCAATCATGATCAGTGCCACACTACATATGATACTAGCTCAGAGAGTCTAGAAGCGATTTGAAGGCGGCATTCAACTCCGTTGACCAAGTGGTACTATGACAATGTTTCGCCGAGAAAGTACATCGCACTAATTAAGACACTCTACTGGAATTCAAGCAGCCGTGTAAGAGCGCTCGGAGAGTTGTCATCTGAAGTGGTGACAACCAGCGATTTAGCAATTGACTTTTCACCATGAGATAGTCTTGTTGACTTGGAATATGCGGATGATACAGTCCTCCTAGGTGAAGATGCTGAGCAAAATTCAGAATCTTCTGAACACCTTGAGGAGCAATCTTCGTGTGTTTGGAATAGGACTTGCTTTTGTCACATATAAGATGATGCTACAGGACTAGTCTGGAGTACATTGACTCCCAGGTTAAAGGTAGGGAGTGGAGTGGTGGAGATTGTTAACCACTTCACTTATTCGGGGAGTTGCATCAACCAGTGCCAACGAGTTGACTGCTGACGAAATATCAGCTTGGATTCACAAAAGGTTTGTGTGGGAATTGCCAAATACCATTGTCTCCGGCGTAGATGTGGTATCTGGTTCTCAACCAAAGGACACGTATGCTGCACAGCAGCAGTCCACTCCGTCATCCTGTATGGCTTTGACTGAGACATGGTCATTGAAAGTGGAAGACATGAAACGCTTGGCTAGCTGTCTTTGATCATAGGTATCTGTGTTCTGTCTTCCATGTCAGGTGGTATAAGAGGGTGAGTAATATTCAGGTTAAGCGTCCAGTTTTAGTTAAGGATTAAGTTACATTGACTGAGATGTTGAGGACATGTGTTGCTACGCATGCCTAGTCACCGCCATCTTTAACACTTAATATTAGCCGATATTAGATTAGGTTGGAAATGACTTAGTGGTAAAACAAACCGAAACATGAAATCAGTCCATAAAATTTTTGATGTTTATTCTGAGCGATACACAGAGGAATAGACTGACTGTTTGGTGTCCTCCGGATTCTAAGACCCAACAGCCTGGAGCAGTTGGTGATATGGCTGGAAATCGTTATCAGTGGTGCAGATGAATTCCGTCATTATGATCAGCTGTATCCCCTGAACTGTATAGTTTTTCTATGTAACTATTCTGTCTGCCTCACATTTCTGGTGGTTGTTATTCCTTCCAAACTCTTCTTTCCCTCTCTTGTCTTTCTTAGTGTGCTTCTTGGAGTGTGGTAACTCTAACTGCTACACATCTGTGCTAAGTTGTAATCTGAATAATAATAATTTGTTTTCAGGTATTGGTTTTGTAGGGATTTTGTTTGATTGGATAGAGGATTTCATCATGCGCTGATATCAGTTTGAGAATCACTGGAAAATCTAGGAGTACTGGATAGCTGTTTCGTCTTAGTTTGGAACTGCTCAACAGTACGCACCCAGCGTGATTTTTTTATTCCAAAACAGTAGTACTTATTAAACAGTGTAGAGTTCTTAGCATTTGGTATAATATACCGTCTAATTTACCCGACAACAGCAAAATAAAAACAGATGTTTATATTACAGCGGATAGATAACTAAAACTGATAATAACGCCTTTATGATACTAGCAGTGACAGTAAAGTCTATCTGGAAGGTGAACCGCTGGAAGTTGTCGATAACTTCGTGTATCTCTCTGGTTGGTTGGAGTCCGAGAGATGGCTCGAACCAGCTGCTCGAAACACTAACGGATATGGCCAAGAATTGCAGTCATTAATGGCGAACATTCTGCAGTTTACTTCTTTCTTCCTTTTCCGACAAAAATTGACGGGTACCGTTTGGACTTATTAACTATGACTGTTTTCCTTCCAGATGAAGTTCATTATCCGTTCTCCACCAATATTTTTACTTTTAATCTCACAAGTTGTTTTATTGTCACTATTGTGTGGTGCATCTTCTTGGTGTCATATTGTACCAAGTCTTTTGTGTTTAAATAATAGGTTGTAGATTCCATGTTTAACACGATCTCTATCACCCAGAAGGCGAGTGGGTTAAATAGGATATCGTCGAGATTTTGTAATAATGACTTGTAATGACTTCTAGTCCTAACTGATGAGATGAAATGGGGTGGGAGGGGACAGTTGAGTGTAGAGAGGGTGTTGAGAGTCAGACAATATGGATTCAGACCATTTCTCAAATCATTTCAGGTATCTATTGACTACAGTAGTAACGACCTGCCTACGTGGCACACCACTGGCCCTAATGACAACTTTTAAATAGCCTGCGCAATATGACGCAGTCCTTTATGAGTAGCCAAGGTAAGAAGGAGGGGGAGCAGTAAAGTACAACAGTTTAGATACAGAAGTTAAGAAACGGCAAGGGTAGAGATGCGAGTGATTCCTGACTGTCTTCGTTTCTTAATGTATTAGGTTAGTCTAGACATGTTCTTAGAAATCGACAAGACCAGAACCTATATATATATATATATACTGGAACAGTTGATTGTAGCTGCCAGAGAAAAACCAGATATCCACACTGTGAAAGATAGTTTCGAATTCTTAGGTGTCGGTTTGCAGGAATTTGATCTGTTTGACGTTAATCAAGGCACTATTTGAACACCAGGGAGTACTGAAAGACTGTTTCAGCTCTTTTCGAGACTCTTCATCAATAGGTACCCACCGGAGTCTGAACCTAGGACCTCCTGGCTACCAGCCTGTCTCGTAGACCATTCAACCACTGGAACCTAATCCAGTAACACATAAATACGAGCCTCTGCTAATCGGCTATATATATGGCCCAACCACCAGGCAGTATCATCGGCGACCAACTGTCCTCTTACCTGACTTTATGGATCACGCTGGTATTCGTTGAGCAAATTCAGAATATCAGTATAAGAAAGGGACATCTGGTTTACTTTGTCGTGTCGTTGGGTGA